AGCTATAACTTCTTTATTCGCCATTGAAAACATTATTTTAGAGGTTATGAACATCAATTAAATTATGTAAGTTATCCATGTTTATACCCTGTATAAAGCTAATTTGAGTATAGTTCGGTAGATATAGAACCAATTATCTTTTGTAATGTTAAAGGTTCGATCCCTCACCCTAAGATTTATTAAAATTTATATATAAAAAAGCATTTTTTTAGTAAGCTCCCGTACTTGTAAGAAATCTCTAGATTACCATTAATTGTACCTCGAAGCCGACCTATATCTCGAATCGAAAGAAAAATGCAGGAAAGGAAAATTAAATATGAAAGAAAAAAGATGCTTTGGGAGTGTGAGATACGCGGACGGGGAGTACGCAGCCGAACAACCGCAGGAGCTTCCAGCAGTGATAGCTGCCCCCACCAGATGGGCCGCCCAAAACCTGGAGCTAACATTTCAATCGGAAATCCACGTCGGATCGCGGCGAGACGAAAAAGGCAGACTGAAGCGGAGGATCACAAAATGCAACACAACAAGGGGCAAACCAAGCGCTTGCGCGAAAGAAGAAGCGAATCAATCAGAATGGAGACATGGAGAAGAGGCGAAAGAGAGATTTTCGAGCCTGCAAGCTGCAAGCAACAACGGCGCGATGTCAAAGAATTTTTTTTTTGAACCACGATATCAATGAATATTAGAACCATTGTAAATTGTCCCAAATATTTATTTGAATATAAATATGCCTAAATTGTCCCAAATATTTATTTGAATGTATTTAATAAAATTGTTATCACATGTTGGGACGATTTATCACCTGCCACTATGTCGACATCAGAGATCATCGACTACCATGATAATCAATGTAACCAAATAAAGAGGTTTATATGAACAAATTTAGGCAGCTCAGTGCTAGAAGCTGAGCCGAGCTTTAGCTTGTCTATCGAGCGACCCTTGTTAGGTACTAGTTGACATTGAAAAGCATCTGCAAGTGCAAAGGTGACAAACATGTTCTTAAACAAGATACCATGATCCTGGATGGTCGGAAGTCTTATCAGGAGCTCGTCTCTCTAAATAGAAGCTTCTGTGTCTTACACAAGGTACGTGAAACTATTCTCTTTCTAATATAGATCAGATTGTATACTGGCTAGAGCTTCGTAGTGCTTAATTTATTTTACAAGTCCTTCGTATGCGGTCGTCTATCGAATCTGAGCTTCGCGATCCGAACTAATCAAACCTCACACATACATGCATATTCTAAAATGGAGAATAAATATATGTTTTAGATAATAAAAAAGAGTATAAATATAATTACACTTCGATATATTATTTGTTTATTTATTAAGTATCCATATCATAGAAAATGAATGTGATATTTCTACGTACATATCTCTACCTTCATAACATTATTATCTTTTCTCTTTTTCTTTTCTTTTTTTTGAAATAAAAGAAACCTCAATAAAATATTATTATATATTTTTTACAAAATAAAATRTTGATAATTTAATTTTAAAAAATAGCTGCTGAATAAGATTTTTTTAATACAACACGTGGGAGTGGGGATCAAACTCACAATCTCTTGGAAGATATATGTCAATTACTCGCTTTAACAGCTATTGAATAAGACTTGAAAACAATGGAGACGCTTATTTATATTTTGACACGTACTCATTCTTTTTTCCTTTTGATTTAAAAAAAGAATTATGTGATCCATAAAATAAAATGAAAATGTGACATATAACATCAAAAATATATGTATATATACTTTCTATATATATATATATATATATATACTTTCTGCGATGAAAATCTAGTGAAGGAAATATAACGTATCGCAAAGTTTTGCAATAAAAATAGAATTCATCACAATTATTAGCGACTGAAAAGTAGTAAGTTAAAAAAAAAAAMTCATTTTCGCGATTGTGACAAAAACTAAGTTACAAAGACTTACTAAGGAACAATTTCTCAAAAAAAAAAAGACTTACTAAGGAAATATTTGGCTCACCATTTTAGTACCCTATACAATTATCTAAACTTAGTATATAATATAGTAAAATAAGAGTATTAATTTTGTAAAAAAGATAAAGATATTATTGAATTACCTATGATTTTAATGCATTTTCACTCTTACAATCGTGAAAGAAAAAAAATCCAAATATTCTCAAACAACTAACAAATTATGGTCTAAATGGTCAATTTTAAATGTTGCTAAAAAGGTTTATCAAGTCTTTTTCTAACAAATTCGAACTCGTAACCTCTTTATTAGAAACAGGTGTCAAGGTACCAATTATCGCTGAGTTAAGCTCATGTAAGAAGATTTATCAAATTATTAGTGGTCTCTAACGTCACAATTAGATTTAATCTCCCATTTTCTTAAATAGAATGGATTAGGTTACCAAATCCAAACCTTTTAATTGATTTGGCATGAAATTCATGTCTACAAGTATTTAGGTTACACGAGTATAGTACAACTTTTACCACCCTATCCAAACATAATAAATGCTCAACTGACTTCTAAAAAATATGAATCAAATATATTTCATCAACTCTTATAGTTAATTTATTACTTAAATTTCTAAGAGTYTATTTTAATCTCTAAATTTTTAATAAATAACCATTTTTAAACCTCGACTTTGGAAATGTTTATTTTARTTATAAACTCTTAAATAATAACCATTTCGATCTTTACAATATTATTTTGTCATCAAATATTTAGATACTCAATACTCCTCTCTAACTTATGTGGTTTGAATACATGCTCGAGTACGCACTACACATTAATTAAGGTAAGGACCAAAATTGTTACTTTTTTAATGTTCAAAAATCTAAAATAGACATTTTTAAAAATTTGGGRTCCGTTTGGTTGGTAATCAGAAAACAGAAATTTGAAAACAAATGATTCGATGAAAACTAGAGTTGTATTATTTGTTTTCAGTGTTTTCAGATATGTGTTTGGTAACAGGCTTRATAATTGAATCTCAATTTAAAAGATTGTTCAAGGTGTGTTTTATAATATATTTGTAAACTAGAAGTAGTTAGCAAACTAAATTTTAGTTTAATCTAAACTTATATTAATTAATTTATTAATTTTTTTTTATGAATTTTGTATAATTGTATTTTACGAGGTTATATAATCTAGAATASATTATATTTTACATGTTTTAATTTTAACAAACATAAAATGAGTTTATAATATGAAGTAATATATTTATCAAAGTTTTTATCATTTTTAATGTAATTCTGCATTTTCAAAATTTCAAGAATCTGAAAACATAAAAAAACCGTTTTCAGAATTTCTACYGTCTGAATCACAGAATCCGAAAACAGTTTTCAAAAACAAATACTCAAAATCCTGCCAAACGCATATTCTTTGTATCCATTTGATTTAGTGAATCTGAAAATAAAAAAGAGAATATGAGTTTTCAACAAAAGGCACTTRGAAACCAAAATTGAACAAACTTGAAAAACCAAAATAAACTTGGGATCTTCAACAACTAAAATAGACTAAACTTGACAGTTCATAAACTATGGGCGGTTTGATAATCCTTTCATTTTTTGGTTTGGTTTTTTGTCTTTTAAAAACCGCGTTGTTGATAACCAATTTAATTTTCTAGTTTTTTTGTTTTTCAAAAACCATTTTGAAATTTTATGTAAATTTCAAAAACAAARAAAAATAGTTTTCAAAAACAGGTTTCAAAATCTGATTTTTTTCTTCTAATACTCAACTTTTTTTTCTCATATTTATCTCTAAAAAAATTTATTTCTCACTCTAAAATTTTTTATTTATAAACCTTTATTTTTCTCTCTCYAAAAGATTCATATTTTGAATATTTATTATTATTTGTCTCTTTCCAAAATTTTCTATATTTTTTTTCTAACAGTTTGGTTTCATTTCTCTCTCTAMAAATTTAATATTTTTCCTAACTTTTTTCTCTATAAAATTTCGTCATTTATAACTTTTCTTTTTCTTCGTAATCTATTTTTTCCTCTGAAAATTATATCTTATTTTTTCGTTTAATTTTCTTTCAATATAACTTTTACTTATCTCTGTATTTATTTATTTTCTCTAAAAATTATATTTTGAATCTTATTTGTATCTCTAAATTTGTTTCCACTCTAATTTTTCTCTTTCTTTATAATTACTTTATTTTTTCTTTAACATGTATTTTCCTCTCTACCTTACTTTTTTTTCTCTAAAATTTATCTTCTAAAAGTTTATTTACATATCTCTAAATATTTTCATGTCTCTACATTAGGGRATGACAAAAATTTCCACAGGATCAGGTCCAAAAAATAGGAACTGTATGTCCCCACCCTGTCCCCGTCGTCGATTCCATTTTTAAAATAATTAATATGTATTTATTACACTTTTTTTATACTTAAGTTCTAATAATAATTAACAACAATTATAAAACCGATAAGTTTTCTCGAGAACATCTCTCAGACCAAAGAACGAGGTGGAGACGAGAATTAAAAATTTTCACGAGCACGAGAATAAGGRAGAACATTCGCACTCACACTATTATCATCTCTACTCTACATAAAATTTTCTCATGTATTTTCAATTTTCTAACTTTTTAAAAACTAAAAACTAAAAATGATTACCAAACATATTTTGGTCTTCTGTTTTTTAAAAACAAAAACAAAAATGTTTATCAAACATATATAAGTTTTGTTTTAAAAAAAACAGAAAACCAAAACCAAACACTAAAAATAAGAAAAACCAGAAACTAAAAAAAAGGTTATCAAACGAGCCCTAAACTAACCACTTCAATTATAATTGCTATGGAAGCATATACTTGAGAGGTAGGTGCTAGACTAACGTCAATCCTAATATAGCCCAAGTAGGTAAATCACATATTATCGTTCTAAAGCCCACCTCATCTACAACTGTTGAACTCAAAAATAAAAAATAAAAAAAAAAGGTTGCAAGACTGGCGATTTCAAAGCAGACCACCATAATGAGTTCACATCAAGTTTTGTCTCCATTTCAGTAAGTTACTATGCACCAGCTAAAACTTCAGAAATCTTCTTCCAATAAAATTATTGAGTTTGTTTACTAACGAATACATATATAAAGAAGGAACAAACAAAATTTGTTTATGTACCAAATTCAACAAGTGAGAAAGAGAGATTTACAAATGGCTTTATGGAGTCCAAAACTGAAAGCTAACCTTTTTTGTTATAGGGACTCAGCAAACTGAGGGGCTTCCAGGTCTAGTTCTTGTCTCATCACACAGGTCATCAGCCAGTCACTGTTAAAAGTCCATATCCCTTTTTTCGCAGCCAGTAATGCTTCCTCCACGTCTTCCTCGCACGCCAAAAAGATCGTTTTTGATACTTCATTTACCTTATCTAGCCCATGAATAACCTGAATTCTCAAAGAAATCGCCATGAAATAGAAGGATTAGGAATTCTACTTGATCAAAAGTTTTCAAGTGCAAAGACAAACTAAACAATAAGAAATTGTCACTAGAAGTCCGGTCTTGCTTAATTAGAAGGCTAAACATATGTCGTAGTCCTAACAYTTAGGTGCTTTTTCAACTTAGTCCCTATTATTAAAAAAGTTTCAACTTAGTCCCTTACGTTTTAGCATTTTACAATTATACCCTTTGCATTGTTAAATGTTAAAATTAGTTGATAATAAGTTTACATTACATGATACTTAGTGTGTTGGTAGAAATTAAGACGAAGAATTAAGTCACCTAAGAGAGGAAAAGTTGAAATTTCTACCAAAGTTATAAATTTGGAGAAAGGATTAAAAACTTTCCTCTCTTGGACGTAGTCTAATTCCTCTTTAAATTTCTACTAACTCAATGTCATGTCATATAAGTACATCGTAATCCAATTTTAACATTGTGTATTAATTGAAAATTGTTAAAATGCAAGGGACTAAATTAAAACTTTCTAAACAATGGGGCTAAATCGTACTACATTACGGACTAAAACATATATTTATCCTAATCCATATCAAACTTTGAAACCCAWAGAGAAACTCCAGACATCGCTCGAGAGACAAAACACCAAACAGAGATGAAAACATGTTCCTAGTATGCCTTCTAGTTACACTGCTTACTTTCTGAACATAGATGACATCCGGTTTTGAGAACTTCATGCAAGCACTACATTTAGACAGGAGCTAGCTATATTATAGTTGCTTTGTAGGCAAGAGGGCATCGGAGTCCTTCCAGCTAATACAAGGGACAAACCTTGTAGGCAAAGCAAATACACTTTGGTCTGCTGGGCTGTTCTGGAGGTTGTGGTTCGAAAGGAACAAAAGATCTTCTATGGAGAAGAGTTAGTGAGAGCTCTTTTTTTGAGAACTTGTTAAAATTTGTGTCTTCATGAATCATGGTCCTTAATTACTAAAGCTTTTTGTAATTATGGTGCAACTCAAATAGTTGTTATGTAGTAAAGAGGATTAAACCATGCTATGTAGTACTCGTGTATGCGGTAAGATATGTAAAAAAACTTACATTTCCACCGGCTGACTTGACTATCACAGAGAGAGCCTTAGGTGGTGGTTCAGCGTGAGCTGATATGCAAACATCATATCCCTCGAATAAAGCTCCAGGACGTGCTTTCGCTCTGAGAACTGCAGTTTTTAAGCTGCCTCTATACTTCAACGAGTAGTCACTATCATCTAGTACGTAAGGCAACTCATCTGTAGATCAATAGGGACTACTATATTACAAAAATTTATGTAATATAAAAACCTAAGAGAGAGAAAATATATGCCGCTTGAATACAAATAAGTCATTCCAACTTACCAACAAATCTGCCTTCCCGATAGCTTTCTTTTAACCAACTGGGGGAGACAATCCAAGCTCTGTACAATTATCGACAATGATTATGTAATTTTAGTTGCAAGATATAGTAATCATTATGAGCAAGGTCATATTACGCACTTGGAGCCACATGATGATGTAGATGACCAAAATCATGAAGAATGTGACTGGGAGAGAACAAAGTTAAGAATGCTAGCTTGAAGAACTAAAAATGCTACTACAACACATATATCTTCAAGAAAACGTTGCTTACTATCAAGTTTCCAAATTTACAAGGTAATTGTGAAGGTAAAAGATTCTACATCCCACTTCCACTTTGTACCCTATTTAAGTTTGACACTTTTCATGCCTACCATTTCAGAGAAATGGGATACCAGTGGCCATCACGATAGGAACAAATTCATAATTAGCTGCAATAAGGGGAAAATCTAATAGCTCCAAACAAAAAGTAACAAGGAAAGGAAAAGCATGATACAGGCAAACATAATAAATATGCAGTATAATAAGAAATTATTCCCTGATAAATTTAAAGGTTCACAACAATTTGCAGCGTAAGCACATGTGCAATGGAATAGTAACAGCAAAGGCCACATGTGCATGGAATTGGTAATTTTGACACAAATGAGATTATAACTGGTATTCAAAGGTCAAAATTCACGAAAAATGGAACTACTAAAGGATGTTAGGCTAAGGTTGCAGGACTAACCCTGAACAGAGAGCTGTGCAGAAATTTAGAGTTTTCCGCACTTTTCCTGTAATGACATGGGTGCTTGTACTCCCATCAGAGGTGAGAGAACCACCGAGCTCCTCAATTACCTATATCAGAAAATAAAAAAACATTAAGCAATGTCACAATTTGGAAAAAGTAGAAAACTCTAGATTAGTATTTAAACAATATATACAGCTAACGCCATATAACATAGATACATTAACATAATAAATCTACAATATCCATAAAACATGTATATAAACATGCATCCCAAGGATGAATTTCATAATTAAGAAAGACTATGGAATCAAAATATATTACGATTAAATAACAGAGGTAATATTCTGGAAAGTTTCAAGCTTCATTCCTCTATTCTAGGAGGGGATATTGATTGATGGTTTTTAAAGAATAGTTTAAACTCCCTCAGCGTCATTTGTTGACATAGCATGCCATAACTTAAAAAGTCAAACACTTAAAACCAATTGATTAATCAAATTTTTCAGGACCTCGGATGTGCCTTCTGAAATCCTAAATGAGAAGCCAATGAGCCAGATATGCCTCTTAAGGACAAAATGGAGAGGTCGAATGATTGGGTGTCAAGTATAATTCTAGACTATTATATAGTTTTTCTAGCAGTTATTGTGTGGGGAACACGTAGAAGAAAACATGAATTTAGAGAACTTAGAGAAGCAACACTAAAGTATATAAAATTTCAGTACCATCAAAAGAAAATGCTCAGAAAAGAAATACGATTGATGAACATTTCAAGAAAATTTATGAAATGTTATACGTACCTTCATGAGCTGAGTTTTCTTTGCTTCATCAGCAATATTCATCAACATAATTTTAAATGATTTTCCTAATGTGGGAAGCTCTTCGCACTGGTGGGCTTTTGATGCCATGTTAACATTTCCAAATTCTTCACAAAAGTTCTGTGTAGAATTACTGGTTGAAGGATTTTTAGGAGAACCACTAGCCAATATCTCATGCTTTGAATTGCCTAATGAGTATTCTTGAGAGCAGGTATCACATCCGTTACCCTTTGGAATAAAGTTCTGGCTAGAATCTGAATTGAAATGGTGCAGATGAACTCCTTTTACTTTCTTAGATTTCAGTGAAGAAAGTGATGCTTCCCAAACTCTCTTTGCACTTTGTGTAGAACAAGAACAATGTCTCTCATCTAAATGACCAGTAGTATTGGATATTTCTACCCTACTGGCTGTCCTGCGGTTCTCTATTTCATTAAAAGAAGCTGGACGATTGCAGCCATGCACCGCGTCCTGGTTTTGAGGATCTGTTGGCAACAAACCAGGTTTTAGCCACAGTGATTACCAAAGAAAGAAAAATATTAGCTCAGACTACCTAAATCTTAATTGCTTGAGATAGATCCAGCCCAAATTACTCAATTTCATTTTCCGAAGACACAGACTATTATATGTAGACATCTAGTAGGTTGAGATAATAGCAAAATTGAAGGGCCACCTACATGTGCAGTCATTTTCATCTCTAGCATCTCCGTATTTGTTATTACTTACTATTTCATGTCAAGAATCATAATCGTGAACAAAATGCTTTAAACCAACTGTTATAAGGTGCTTAAATAATATGTAGAATCATTTCCATGTAGCATGTGACGGGAGAAAACCTAAATTCCACATACAATGAAATTTGTTTTCTCCTCCCAGGGGTGCAAAAGTAACAAACTCTTCAGGTTGGAAGTTCAACTTTTCAATGGTCTGCTTGTCAACTGCATTTGAAGGCTTGCATCTTTGTTTGGCAACACCAGTTCTTTCGCGGGCATCAGGCCTTAATGAATCAGAAAGTGACTTTGGCAAGTCTGCAGAACTCATTGCAATTCCCTGGTAAATGTGTGAAACCATGAGGGTAGAACCACCAGGAAAGCATAAAGCTCTACGAATGTCAGCTCTAACAGGTATTCTACGAGCTTTTCCCTTAGTGTCCACTTCTGCTATGGACAAAAAACCCTGCATTCACTTCGAATATTATGCTATTTTCCATACTCCTATAAACCAGTATGCATTTTAAGAAGATAAATAAAAATTATGTAATGCAATTTCTATCACATAATACAAAATCACGCTATATTTAACAGGTGTCAGTCACTATTACCTGTTTGGACCAAAAGCCTTCAGATTCCTTGTCTCCCCAACAGAATATTGTACGGATTCCAACACTTTGAAGTCTTTTTCTAAGTTCCATGTATAATATACGACCAAATCCCTGAAAGAAACTAGTACACTAAAATGTAAGTTCCAACCCAAGTCTCCAATGGATCCCAATAGTAAAAGGAATTACTTTCCAATAAATGATATTATAAACCTGTAGAGACTAAGATGTGAGAGAATCAGATAATTTCATTACCATTCACAGAAGAATATATATAGACAAATATTGACCTAAYAAAGAATGTAAAAGGACGATAAAGGACAAAATAATAAAGACTATTACAATGATATAAAGCATAATTATTCTAACAAAACCAAAAGAAGGAGAATGAGAGGGAGAAGGAGCGAGAGATACCTTGTGTTGGTGACCTGAACTGACAGCAGCAAGAGGAATCTCAGCATATTGTGTGTCAGCAGGAACTATTTGGTAGGTAATTGCAGCTCTGATCTGTAAAAAGAGAGGTAGGTGAGGGGAATTAGAAATCTTTCAAAAAATAAAATAACAATATAGATTTTTTCTTGAAATTGTGTTTAAGAAACATTTATAACATTCGTTTTAATCTAATTGTTCTTCAAAAAGTCTTTAATTTGAGAAATTTGAAAGAGAAATAATTCAGTTCAGATGTCTATCCATTAAGTTTTTGTAACTCTAACCATGTATGATAGAAATCATCAAAGTTTTGACCTTTTCAAACTCCATAGGCTCAATAAACAAAGAGATGTGTACCAACTAGATATACAATAGCAAGAAGGAAAAAAACTGAATAGAGGAACTTACAAATATTTGGCTAAGGTACATCTATATCAATGGTGACTCTTTATTTCGAAAGTGTTCTTACTAATAAGAAAAAAACAAGGGACACAAAAAGTATGAAGAGGTAGACACACGGTAAACCACGAAGAGTTCACAAGGTCATAATGCAGTTTTAGAAAATGGTTCCATAAAAAATGCATCCAAACAGGACCTATGGAAACTGGCTACTGAACATTGATATACTGATATAGTGCTGATAGCTATCCTGAAAAGATGGCATACCATTATTCTTTATGCAAAAGAAAAATGTCAATCAAATGGGAGTAACAACAGAAACTGTGTTCGAGCTTACCAATCTTGGATCAGCCACAGATGTGGATCTCAAGAGCAATGTACAATATTTCCTGCCAGAGGAAAAAATTGATTGTCAAAAACTTAACAATTGAGTACTGCATTGAAGCATCATCCAACATAACTTTAAACTGGTAATGTTAGCTTTGATTGATAACAAATAAATATAAATCATCATTCATCACTGGTGCACCGTAACAAACCGAGCAATCAAAACAAGGGAAAAGGCGAGGAACATATTTTGTACCCATTAGATACGCATTTCTCCATAAAAGTCGATTGCTTTCCAGTATTTGCAGCATAGACCATTGTGGGTAGTTCCCTTTTGTATAATTGTAATACTTCCTGCAAAACCATCACCAACAATTTTAGAAGAGACCAAGAAAAAGTCAATTAACCATGCCAGGATTTAAATCAGCAATTGCAAAGCAAATAATTTTAACTAGCTTTAGTGAGTGCAACGTAAGTCAGTAAATAATGTAACTCTTTAATTAAGTCGCAAATCTTTGTAAAAAATGAAAAATTAAAATACAAAGACCAAAACATTGAAAGTTGAGAAGTACAGTCTGCGAGTTGATAATCTAATCAAATAATTTCTTAACAACATTAAGGATAGACTTAATGGGGCTTAGTCGATTACTCATCTAATTTCACATTCTTTGATCAAGGCCAATTGGAATGTCCTTCCGTAAACTCCCTCGAGCTGACCTTTTGTTGGAAGAATATTTCATTCACGTATAAAGTAAACTTAATTCTTCCAAAGATATGAACTCTAATTAAACAAACATACCACGACGCTTAGTTAACAAAACTTCGCTGAAAGTACAACGGTATATGTTTTTTTTACTAATAATCGAAACAAAGCAAAAGCCAACGGCGAAACCAACAGATAGGCACAGATATCTACCTGAAGATAAAACTTGCTGTCACTATCATAATCATTCGGATTAACGAGCACAAAAGAATAATCGCCTTCAGAGGGACATTTTTCTCCGATACCTAAACAAAAGCCAAAATTAGAAAGAAATTAACCCATACGTCTACCAAACTTGAATCCATACCGTTCAAGTATCAATTCTCATTACCTTTTCCGTCGCATTCTGGTTGATTAGCATCAATAACATGCCCCTCTTTCCCCACTAGCACAAATCAACGAACAAAACAACCAAGTTACAAACCAGCATCAGAACCATTTAACTTCACCTCAATTATAGTAATCCTATTCCAGAAACGCTAATAATCGTTTCGAAAACACGAAGCAATTCCAACGCTCGAGCAACGAAACAGAGAACGAAGGAAGCCACAAAATCGTGACGAGTATCTACAGAGAATAAGGATTCAAATTGTGACGAAGCTTACGAATTGGGATTTGAGAGCGAGGTGCAGCTTTCTTCCTTGGCGCCATGGCCGCGGGATTTTGGTTAGCTTCCTGTGGAAGGTTTTGAGAGCAGAGCACTGTATTTCGATCGGGCGGGAAGAAGGGTACAATTGTCAATAAAAAATATATGCGGGCGGCAACTTAAATAGAGCTGTAAATCTAAATTTAAATGAGAATAAAAATATAATACTGAAAAAACAAAGGTTTAAATATTATTTTAATATCCGATACATMTGGACTTTTGATTGTGTTCATTTTGACGTTTGTACTTTTCAAAATATATATTTTGATCACTATATTTTTAAAAGTGATCATTTTGATTTCTATTTACAAAATTGTAACATAAATTTTCTACGCAATTAAAACCGTTTGATATAAATTTATGTCTACATTTCAAAAAGTTGAGTGATTGAATTGGCACGTTAAAATTTTGATTGAGATAAAAATTATATCAAAATAGCCACTTTTAAAAAGCCCGTAAGCCAAAACGAACATTCAAAAAGTATAGAAACTAAAATTGATAAAAAAATAAACGCATATGAACTAAAATAAACGTTTTGGAATTATGGGATCAAAATCAATCATAATCAAATCAAAATAATATTTAAATTAAAAATAAATTAGAGTTATATGATATTTATATTCTTCCACACTTTATTTAATTCAAAATGCACAACTAAAAAATAAACCCAAAATATCACAACATGCGTCGTTTGTGTGTGTGTATTATATATATAATCTTTTCATATTAAAAATTCCTCAAAGTTGAATATTTGATCCATACTTCATTTGAGTTTAATGCAAAAGGAATTTGGACAATTGGGTTCGACATGACCTGTGAAAAAGTGTTTTTAAAATACAATTACCTTTTCTTCCCTTACTTTTAARAAAGAATTACGCATTTAGCGTGGATCAGTATAATTTTAGTTTTAGATAACTAAGATATAATTTTGGATAATTAAGATAGACTGTTTATTTTGTGAGAATCCTAAATTTCTATAGGATGGATATCTAAATTCTAACGTTCGTTTTGCGGATAGGATATTTAGGTATCTCAAGATATCTGAATATGATAAGATGTCCATACAAGTATTCGAGTTATTTTGAATGTCTTTTTTGAAACATGAGTGTTGGAAGGTTGAAACGCCAACTGTCGAGGATCGGACAATTTCGTCAAGAAAGGACACATGCTGAGCAGACAGGTCGGAAGAGGTCTTGGACATCCGAACTAGTCATGAGGCGATAAACGATAAATCTAATCAATAGTACGGTCCACATCGCCTGGTCACTTATTCACAGGATAGTTGATGTCACTTATTCACAGGATAGTTGATTAGATCGTTGGGTAGAAAACTACCCACTTATTCACAGGATAGTTGATTAGATCGTTGGGTAGAAAACTACCCACTTTGTCCACTATAAATACATCGACGAGTACATCGACGAGAATTTGTCTGAAGTTAATCTGTCTCACTTGTCCTTAAACTAACATGAAATTTTTACCCACAGTAACCATCCATCACTGCCATCACTGCTTCATTATTTTACTCCTATACTCATTTTTGTCCCAGACATAATGAAAATATGTTGAAGTATATAATTGTAAGGGAAAAAATAATATTTTAAAAATACAAGAGGACATTAAAAAATTAGAGTAACTCTTGTTTATTCATTTTTCTTTTAATATTCTTAAAATTATATAAAAGTTTTAAAATAACGTTATTTTTTTTAATATTCTTCTCATTTTCAATTTATTTCAAAACAATTTTTTTCATTTTTTCCCCATTTATTCTAAAACATAAATAAAGATTTATTTTACCATACATAAATTATATTCTAAACAAGTAACAGAAAAATTACTAATTACTCAACGAAACTAGAGGTATTTAGGTAAAAAATCAAAATAGTATTTTATCTTTCTACAACCATTTAAGATTATTGAACAAAAAGTGTTGCAAATACATCAGTCCATCTTCCACACTCACATATCTCCAATTCACACTTTCTACAATCATTTAAGATTATTGAACAAAAAGTGTTGCAAATACATCAGTCCATCTTCCACACTCACATATCTCCAATTCACAACACTCAACATTCCCACGCTCGCGCTCTCAACCCTAATATTTTCTCCCTTGTCAACCCTAATATTTTCTCCGTTGTCAATCTCATTCTCATTCCTTCCGCTCCCACACAATCCCAACTTAAGATCCGCTACTATTCCACCGCTCACCGTGTTCGGGCAACATCCCGCCAATGGTAGCTCCTCCGAGAACCACCCGTCGACTCCCGGAGCAAACCCCACTCGGCCTCCACATTCGATCATCGTAAACACCCCCCGCCACCCTCCCAAAACCACGTTCCACACCACCTTCACCTCGTCCCCGGCCCCGACCAACGGAGCATCGCCGCTGTCGCTGGCTAGATTTACGTAGAATTTGAATCGTCCGTTTGGATCTGCGGCCACCACCAGCTCACTGCCATACTTCACGCAACTGATGGATTGTGGCGGAGCTAAAAAATTTCATTAAAACAGGCCAAGCTTAATTTTAATTATATTCTTAGTTCTAAAATTTCAACTGTGGATAAATTATAAAAAAAGATAAAAAAATTGAAAAATAAGTAATAAATCTCATTTTTGTCTACCATAAATGAGCTAAGCAAAATTTTAAAAAAATAACACAATATAGCATAAAGTTTAAAATGAGGAAAAGAAAAACATTAATTGTATTCAGAAACCTAATTTCCTATCTAATTAAAGTCCAGACAAATTTGTCACTARAAAAAAACAAAAAATAAGTATATGTATATAAATACATATATATATTTATTTTCTGTCTTTTAGGTAATTTCAATAACCCTAAGCAATTACTAAACTAATTATTAGAGAGGGAAACTAAAAAGAAAAGAGATTTAAAAACTAAATTAAAATTTTAATATGAGATAAACTAGAAGAACATTTACCGCTCTTTTCTTTCTTCTTTCGGATGAACGCGTCGTCTTTGTGAGTCGAGACGACGCTGATGATGAAGACGAGGTCGGAGAGGGAGAGGGTTGGTTTTGATGGAGTGGAGCGGCGGCGGGCAGCGGCGGTGTGGCCGAGGCCAAAGAGGCGGCGGAAGGAGGCGGCGGAGGAGGAGGGGACGGCGAGGTTGAAAAGAGAAGGGAAATTGGCGGTGAAAATGGGCTCCCAGAGGTGGTCCGAGGCCATGGAAATGGACCACGACTTGCACACGCACGACGCCGTCGCCAGGCTTCTCGGGTCCAGATGTTCCGCCACCAGAACAAGCACCTCCCACGGCGGCGATGACGGCGAAGTAGAAGAAGAGAACTCAAGAGAGGGCGCCATGAGGAAGAAAACGATGGATCGGTTGATTAAGGATTCGATTAGTCGATTATTTATAAATTGGTTGGTGCCACGGAGGATTGATTGGTGCCACGTGGAAGTTAAGGGTGATCTGCATGGAATCAGGCTGCCACGTCATATTTAAGATGTTTTTTCTTTTGTTGTTTTTCTAATGACATATATATTAACGTTTTGGGATATGAATATGATCTATCCAATAATCCAAAGATAATTATTAGATTTGCTGTTTTCTTTYTTGTCCTTCAATTTTATTATATAATTTAAAAATATTTATTTTAATTTTTGTCTAAAATAAAATATTTATTTAAGTTTTCTTCTAATCTTATCTTACATCTCAATCGCATCCCACTAAACCAACCTAGACACGTATAGAAAAAGGGAAAAATAACATTCGAATTTAAATAAAAAATCGATCAATTGAACCGATTGGTAAGTTGGTTGGCTTAAGCAATCGATTGATTCTTCTAACAACTTCATATTGGAGGTGGGATGCCTAGTTAGTCGAGCTGAATAGCTAGCGGTAAATAGAACCTTGTACCCTTGTGGTGCTCGACCATGTACGCTTCGAAACTTAAGTCAGAACTTAATTTGAATTGGTGTTGAGTCAAGCTTGGTTAGTTAGTGGTTGTGCATAAAATTTATATCTTTGTGATKGAGGGGTTTTCCACCTTGGGTTGGGCCTTCTAGCTACCTGACACGTCATAGGTGATTTAGCTCATCCCATTTCGTTTTTTGCCTATTCGAGTTAAAAGTTTGAACACGTATTTCCAAATGAATAGTCCTAGAAGTTAACATGTATTTAAGTTATATAGATGATTTATTTTAATCCCGGACAAAAAAGATATTGACAATAAGATAACAGTGATGACAAAAAATGTATACATATTTTTCAAGTTTAAGCATTAATTAGGAAAAACTTCAAAAGTTTACGGAACAAAATTAAATAACATAAAAACTTACGGAATAGAATAAGAGAATAAATGATTACAAATTTAATTCTAAAATTTGCCAACATGAGTGTAGCTTGACTGCAAAAATATATAACTCATTTTCGTGAAGTTCAAGGTTCAAATCCCGTATCTTGTATTTGTTGTAAAAAAAAATCTAATCCTAAATATAAATAATTGTATTTATTTAACTCATAAGCTTTAAAACATTTTCATCGCATTTCTAAACTTTTCAATTGTTTTCTTAGTTATAATTAGTCATCTCTTTAATATTATTAAAGCCATAATGCTGACATTTTCTTAATATATAATTTCTACTACTATTGTAGTAGATACTCTCTTCAAATTTTAAATAAATGAAAAGGTAGACCCTATGTAATAAAATAATATACTTACTATATATAGTCCTTAGAATAATTATTTAAGGAAAATGCTAAGAGAGTTTATTTGGTAATATTCTTTTTTTTTTCTTATTTTTAATTTTTGAGAAATAAAAACGTTTAGAGAGTTTTTTTGTTTATCGTTTGTCATTTGTCAAAAAAGAAAAAAACATTTTCAAAATTATGAATTTCAGAATTAACAAAATCGAGTTTATTATTTATTGTTCCGATTTTTAATTTTTTCCAAAACATAAATAAAAGTATTATTGTATTATTTTTAAATTTATAAAATGTATAATAAATATTAAAAAGTAAATATAACATTCAATTTTTTAAATATTTAATTTTAAAATGTAAATTTAATATAATTTTTTAATTTAAAATGGTACGTAACCATCGTCAATAAATGGTTATGTAACATGTTTTTTGTTTATTGTTCAATAGAAAAACAGATAAAGAACAATAAATAAGAAATAGTTACTTAACTTAAGGTAACTCTATTTTTATTTATTTAGAAAATAAAATGAGAATCAAAAAACATAAATGCTATCAAATAGACTTTAAGAAATCAACAATATCTACGTACTTCAAAAAGTTTTTTAGTACAATCGTATTATTTAAAAATAATTGTAGGATAAACAGTATAAGAAATTATTTGTGAAAAAGGAAAATCATATAGTGTGAATGAAGAGATATCTTTTTTTAGTACAATAATATGTGGGAGTAGGCAGCCGGGAATTTCTAGTCCTCCCTTGCTATGAAAACTATCTTTATTTAAAATCTATCCGTGAAGTACCTTTATTATTATATAAATAAATAAACATTGTGGAACCCGGATATTTAGAAAGTCAAACCGCGCTCAAATGGTCAAGGTACTTATCTAGACTTAAATTGGCGTGAATGAAGAGATATCATACTACTTTCATCTAAGTAACATTTCTTCTAACTTTTCATATATATCGTTGTTATACTCATTTACTGCATTTCGGCAATGCATCTGAACTTTGAAGTTAATATCTTTTTCTTATCCATTTATTGTTGCCAGATGATTTAATTTTCGTCCATATGAATATAACAGGTCAAAATATTTTTTTTTAATTTTTTTTTTTGAAATAGACTCTTCAATTTCTTTAACATTTTTCTGTGATATTTTCTAAAGGGACTATTCATGTAGACCAAGATTGGGTTGACCTATCAGTCTCTATTATTTTTATTTATTTTTTATATATTTTTCCTTTATATATTAAGTAATCAGAAAAATATTAATTTTAACTTTGAACTTGATGATATATAAATTTTTATTTTTAAACGTTAATTTCATCGAATTGCATTTTTAAAACTTGGAATTTTTAACTTCGATAGGGCTTTTTTTAAAAAAAAAATTTGTTTTAAAAAAATTCTTATGAAAAAAAAATGGTATACAACATATATTTGATATGAAATTAATAAGATTTAGACAAAAATAATATATATATATATATATCAAGTCTTTTTTTTATTTTAGTCTTCGTTTTATTTTTAAATATACATAATGGAAACTCTTTAATATTAAATTATGGTTACATTTCAATATATATATATATATATATATATATGAAAATGGGACTAAAAATAAAATTAAATAGTCACAATGGTAACTTTTTAAAAATATTAGAATCAAAACAATTATTTTACAACAACCAAAATAAACCAAAGCTCAAATATACCACGACCAAAATAATATTTTAATAAATTATTTAAAGCTTGAATTTCATTAAATCAATTAGTTTTTAAAGTTATTTACCTTATTTTTTTTTAAGTATTGGGTGAATTAACCAAAATTAAATAAAAGATAAATATTACCTTTATATTTATTAATGGATGAAATTAAAAGTTTATGATAAAAATGGGTACCACTTAGTTTTAGAGTAAAAAATAAATCTTCCTGGAAGATATAAAACTTGTCACGTACATGGTTCTAAATACCCATCATCGAAATGGGTACAAAATATGAAAATATAATAAAATGTTACTAATATATATACATGATATTAATATTAATTATTTTAAACTTATTTAAAAATATAAAAATGTATATTTGTTAATTTAATTATTTTTTCGACATCAACGTTTAAAACCTTGGTCACTTGAAGCACTAATAATTTCCTCTGGAATTCTTACCTTCACATTTGAATCACTGACCACATGATAAAAACCTAGAGAATGAAGATTCCTTTCTCATTAAAACTATTTCATTTTTTTACACTTTTTCTGGGGACACTTTAAGAGTAAGATACACAATAATGAAGTGGGGTTTGCAAAAGTTGCAATCTTGCAACCTTGCT